GCCATAGTGTTTTATGTTCTTTTTGAAAGTTATATAAACAGCAGCATAGTATAGTTGACGTTGAATCTTGCTTTTTTATTCTGACATTTATATTTCTGAGATTCAGCCTTGCTGATATGTTTAAGTCTAGTTTCTCCTTTTTATGAATACACTACAATTAATTTTTCCATTCCTATATTGATTGACATTTGCAGTGTTTCCATTCTTTTTATTCTTAAAAACAAGTGTAAAGATTTTCTTATGCCCACATGCAAGAGCTCCTCTAGGGCTTATTCTTATGGGTACTATTTCATGTTCAGAAGGTATAAACATCATCAACTTTTAAGGTACTGACAAATTACTCTCTCTTCCAAGAGCAGGTTATAACAGCTTTCATTTTTTCCTATCCTCTCAAATAGTTGGATATTGGCATTCTTTTTTCTAGTCAAATAGAGGTAAATGGCATTCCATTGTTGTTATAATTTGCAGTTCTCTAATTACTAATTAGATTGACCATATTCCCACATTTTTAATGGACATTCGAGTTTCCTCCTTTGTGAAATTCCTGATCTCATCCTTTGCCCATCTTTTTAAAATTAATCTTTTTTCTTATCTTTGCAAGTGTTTTTGTAAATATTGGAGAGTAGTCCTTTTGTCCAGTATAGGAATAAAAGTAGATTCCAAAGATTTCAGTGCAATGTGGATTATTTGAGAGAAAATGATAAATGATAGTAAAGAAACTCAAGACCACAACATGTGTGAGTATTCCCATATTTGTTCCTCTTAGGCCCAGAGCAAAACTTTAATAATCCTCCCAGGGATACTGCTGGGAGGACCACCTTGGAAAGCCCTCTTAGAAGTTTTATCAATATACATGCATATTTACAGAAATTATATTACTTTTGTTATGATCACTTATGTAATAACTCAGCTTTGAGCAGGTGTGCTAGGTGGTTACTTTATACGATATTTCTAGTGAGCAGTTATAAACCTGTACCATAGCATGTTTGTGTCTTTAAAAGATCCACTGGAGCTAGACTATCCTCTCACTAGTAAGCAGCACTAGAGCTTACTACTTCTTCTTATCACAGTCTGCTTCCAATTTGTGGCTTGATTTAACTTTGCTGATGGCTTCCTTGTTGGTTCAGAAATGTAAAACTTTAAGAAAATCATATTTATCATTATTATATTTCATATTTTGTCTTCTTCCATCTTATGAACCCTTTCTACTCTTATGGCATAATGACATTTCCTGTATTTTCTTCTCAAAATTTTAAACACTTAGTTTTCATATTAAGATCTTTAATCTGAAATATATTTTATATATAGTATGAAGGAAGAAATATACCTTTATTTTTTCTTCTATGGATCATCAATTTTTTTTCAGTACCATTTATTGATTAGTTTAACCATCCATTTGCAATGGCAGTTCTCTTGCTATATCAAATTCTCACATAAGTTTATGCATATTTCTTTATTTTCTGTTCTCTTTCCTTGACCTCTTTGGCCCTCCCTGCACCAATATCATGCTATTTTTGTTACTATAGTCATATACGTCTTGATATCTGGTAAGTTACAACTGGTAGCTTTATAAGTATTAAATCATTTTAAATTTTGTATGCAGGCTTACCTAATCTGCAAATAGCACCAATTGTACTTCTTTACTACAACTATTTCTTTTTTCTTGTCTTATTTCATTGGTAAGTACGGTGCTGATTATAGAACAGGTGATCTGTGTCTTGTTTTCATTTTAGAGCGAATGTTTCTGTTATTTTAACATTAATGTTAGCTGTAATTTTAAGTTAACATTTGTTATATTAAAGAAGCTTTTTTCTGTTTCTAGATTGCTAATAGTTTTAATAATGAATGATGATTGACTTTAACCAAATGCTTCTCCTGCATCTGTTGAGATTAATATATCTTTGTCCTTAATTTCATAAATTGCTGGATTTCATAAATTATTTAAAAAATTTCTAAATGTTAAGCTATCCTGACATTTCTGCGATAAGACCTATTATATCCTATATATATTTTCAAAAACAGGTGATGTTGAATTTGTCTGGCTTTCATTTGGGACTATTGGATTATATGTCTGTAAGTATTCAAAAATCACCTTATTAGAAAGGCTTTCACTGACTATCCTTATAAAAGAACATATTTCCCCCACCCATTACTCTATTTCCTTACTCCCCATTCTTCTCTCTATAGCATTGGTCATCATCTGCCATATTGTGTATTTATTTGTTTATTACCTGTCTCCCCAAAGAGAATATAAATTCAGGGGGAGCGGACCTTCATTTTGTTCATTGCTCTTCCATATACACTGTGAGCAGAATATCTGTTTGATGAATTAATGCACTTGAGATAATTATTGTGTATAAATGAATAAATTGATGTATAAATGGGTGCTATTAGCCCTTTTTTTTTCTTTTTCTGTCATCTTCTGATTTTGATATTAAGGTTATTCTGGCTTCACAAAATGATCCAGCTAGCTATCAAACATTTCATTTAAGTATAATTACTCTTAGGACTTGATAATGTCTAGTGCTGTCTGATAGGTAGAACATGATGAATGACTTGATTTCTTTAACGTTATGGTTATCTTTAGGTTTCAAAAAAATTCTTGCCAACTATTTTTGGTAGTTAATATTTTTCAATAAAATGTTGCCGTCTACATTTTCAGGTTAATTGGTATATCAGTTTATTATTGCTGCTGCAACCACCTCCCACAAACTCAGTGACTTAAAGCAAGCCAAATTCATTGTTTTATAGTTCTGGAGGTCAGAAGTCTAAAACGAACAGGCAGGGACTTTTTCAGCTTCCAGAGATTGCTGCATTACTTGGCTCACTGACTCACTGTGATGGAAAGGAAGCCTGCCCCTGAACCTGCCCTCAAGTCCTACCTCCAACTGGACCTCCTAGAAGGCACCCTGTCAGAGCTGTCTCCAGTGGAGGGCTTGCCGGAGACCTCTCAGGGAGTAAGGGGGAGCCTTGCCCCCTAGCATGGCGGCCTTGCTTCTTCCTCAGACTGGAGACCGGTGTCCAGAAGGTACTCGAGAGGAGCCCCAGGACAGCTGCCACCCAGACTCCATTGCCAGTAAGTGCTGCCTCTGCTCTGCAAAAATAAAGATATCTCTGCCACCTGAAAAAAAAAAAAAAGAAAACAAACAAACATACAAACACCCCTCACTCTGACCCTGTAACCTCCCTCTTGTAAGGACTGTTGTGATCTCAGCGGACCCACCTGAATAATAATTCATGTTACTCTTCCCATCTCAAGATCTTTAACCGAATCGCATCTGCAAAGACCCTTTTGCAGAGTCAGATAACATCTTCACGTGTATTAGGAATCAGGATGTGGACCTCTTTTGGAGGGACAGTTTTCTATACCCGTCATAATTGGCATCACGGTTTTCATTGTATTTTCTCCTGTTTTTCTAGATGTTGCCCCTTTTCACTTCAAAACGCATTTGCTTCTTCCTCTATCACTTTCTCTTTTAGCCAATTTGCCTATTTTACATTCTATCCGCCTGTCTCATTAACTACACCCTCAAGAGCCGGGGCAGGAGCGCGAGGTGTCGTGCGAGGGCTGGAAGTTCAAGTTCACTCGCCCCCCTGTCATTTCCCACGAGGTCATCGGGCAGAGCTCCTTTCTTTCTCGCAGTCCGGGCATTCCAAGCCGCCCCCGTGAGCCCGCTTCCCCCGTCGGCGTCAGGGGTAACGGCGCAGCCTGAACGTGTTCCCGCCGCGTCCCACTCTCCCACTCTCGGAGCTGCTTTCTCTGCGCTGGAAACCTCTGAGCTCCCTCTTCCTCTGCGGCCCAGCGCTCGGAAATGCCGAGGGAGGTGAGCCGCTCGCCTCCCTACTCCCCCGGGCCCGAGGCCTGGGCATGCGCCCCGGGTCCCCGGGACCTGCCGAGCCGGTTCCGACGCCTGGGGAATTAACGGGGCCCGCCCGGCTCCAGCCCCGCGCCTCCGCCCCTGTTCCCTCTCCGCTCCCAGCTCCTACGAGTCAAAGCCGCTACAAAGGGCTTGAATGAGACGCGTGTGCGCTTCGTGAGTCGTCACCCGCAACCGCCAGGGGATCCAGCCTCCGCGCGCAGCATCTCTCGCAGGAGGCGGCCCGGGGCCGAGCGCTGGCTCCCGGCGGCGCGCGCAGACACTGGGGCGGCGGCGGGGCGAGGCCGGCCACCCCCCTCCCGGCCATGCGCCGCCTCGCCCGCGGCCGCTCCAGGCACCGCGCTCTCCGCCCGCCCGGCGCCCGCTGTCGCAGCGACGAGCTCCCTCGGCCGCGGGCACCGTCCCCACCCCCGCCACCGAGCGCCTTCCCCGCAGCCCGCGCCGCCCCCCGGTCAACTTTGAGCGGGAGGAGCAGCAACTTTGACAGTGGCCGCGGGTTCGGATCCCGCGTCTCCCCCGGCGGCAGAAGCCTCGCAAGTGGCTGGGGTTAGGCGGGGCGAGTTTCCCCGGGCGCATCCGCGCTGCGTGCAGCTGTTTGCAACCTGTTTCCAGCGGGCCGGGAGCGGGGTTGGGGCTGCCAGTCATCCGCGAAGGGGCAACTTGTTTTTCTCTCCCTTTAGCGACCTCGGCTTACAACTGGCTAAAGCGGTTACTGAAAGGCTGTAAAAAGGCAGCGCAACTGTTACCAACGGGATAAAGCGGTATGGAAAGGATGTAAATGGGCAGAGCAACTGTTACCAAGAAGGCAGCCACCCAAAGGCAGGGAGGAACGTGGGGCTTGGTTCGGGCTTCTCCCAGTCGCAGCATTAACCGACGACCAGGTGCTGGTTGCGACTTTTCAAGGTCGGCCTCCGGGGGCAGCGGTTCCCTCTCTGAACCGTGGGGATACGCGGCGCTCGGGTTGGATTTGGCTGCGAAACGCACGGGAAGCCGAAAGAGGAAGGATTGTAGAAGGGGAGGGTTTGTGACCCAAGACCCATCCCCCAACCTCTCCGTAATCTCCCGTCCCCCAACGCCGGGGCGGGGGCGGGGGTGAGTATGTGACATGTGTCCGACTCTCAGCAGCAATTTCGGCAGCAGGTGTCGGTGCTAATCGCGAGCCACGCCGCCGGGCGCGCCCTCACCGAGCCATGCGGGCCCCGGGCGCGCCTCTCGCCCGCACCTCGCGGCTGCTGCTTCTGCTACTGCTCAAGCTTTCCGCCTCGCCTGCCCTCGGGTCCGCTCCTTCGCCCGGGAACGAGACTTGCCGAGGACAAAACTGTTCGCCTGCACTGAGCCAGCGTCGCAGCAGGGACGCGTGGGGAGGAAGTTCTGCAGGGGACCTTCTGCCAACCCGAGCGCCCAGGGAGGAGGAGCGGCAGCCGGCGGCGCGCGCGGCGCCCTGGCGGGACCTTAGGGCCGCCCGGGGCGGTGCCCCAGGTGCGGGAAGAGGGCCGGAGGCGTCGGCCGCAGATCCCTCGGGACCTCCAGCCAGACCCTCTGGAGCCTGGAGGTGGAGAGGTGCCCGGGGCCAGGAGCCCCCCGGAACTTTGGGAAGAGGGAACCCCCCGGCTCTCCAACTCTTCCTTCGGAGCTCAGAGGGGGCAGAGAAGGGTCCTAGAGGCGCTGGCATTTCTGGGCACAGCCAGGAGCCGAGTGTGAGGACAGAACCTGCAGCCAGCGACCTTTATTACTGGCCAAGGAGAGGCGGGAAACACCAGGGTGCCCACCACGACACCCCACCCAAGACGGTCGATGGACCGTCCGGGCACGAAGGGCGGACGATCGCACCCCCTGGCAGGGCGCTGGCCCAGAATGGGTCCTCAGGGGAGGGCGTCCACGAGCGCGGGGGTCTCCGCCGGGGCAACAGCACACACCGGCGCTTGCGACTCAAGAACCCCTTCTACCCGCTGACCCAGGAGTCCTACGGGGCTTATGCAGTCATGTGTCTGTCTGTGGTGATCTTCGGGACTGGCATCATTGGCAACCTGGCGGTGATGTGCATCGTGTGTCACAACTACTACATGCGGAGCATCTCCAACTCCCTCCTGGCCAACCTGGCCTTCTGGGACTTTCTCATCATCTTCTTCTGCCTTCCGCTCGTCATCTTTCACGAGCTGACGAAGAAGTGGCTGCTGGAGGACTTCTCTTGCAAGATTGTGCCCTATATCGAGGTAATGTCTTCCAGGGGGTCTCAAACTACTGGCTTTACCCATCTCGGGGATGTAGCATCCGAATTGCTGCTCCACGCACCCACCTAGCAGCTGAACCCCTTTACTTTTTCGCTGGGTCCTCCTCCACTTCTCCTGTCAATCATTAAGAGAGAGAAAAAGAGAGAGGCAGCTTTGTTTGCTCGCTTTCAAACTCTTCTGCTCCTGGATTTTGAAATAATTATGTTTTCATCATGTATAGAATTGTTTGCATTTTAAACTGATCTCTCTGAATATGGCATTTATATATAGTTTTGATTTGGCACCAGTCAGAGAGTCGAGGGTTAATAGATGGCCATTGTATGGTTGTCATTACCAGAACTCAGCAGCAACAACAAAAAATCATGTATTGTTTCTCAGGTAGTGCTCCAACATGATTTTTTTCCCAAGGAGATTATTGAATCTTTCTTAAATATCAAAATGGAAATACTATTTTATTTAACAAAGGAAATCTGCCTTTGTCGGTTGGCTTCATGATATATTAATAACCTCCCAAATTAGTTTAAGTGTCCTTTGGCAGTCTGCCATGCTATCCCATCTAAATTCTTATGTCATTTCTTATTTCTCTCCTTTTCCTTCTCAATTTCTTAACAGTTTTATTTATTTTTTATGGAAGAGTTTAAGCAAAAATAACACTTTGGCCATCATGGCACTGAATTTACATACATATACATATATATATGCACACACACATACATATATATTTGAGCATGCATATATAGTATGTACTTGTCACTTGTTAGGATATAATGGATTGGTTATTTTAAGGGATTGGCTAAGAGTAGAAAAATTTTTTAAGAAGAAGGGGGGCATATAATAGGTTCCAAACTTTGGAGACAAAAATATTGCTGAGTAAAATTTTATTTTTTCGTCTTACAGCTAGTGTCCTGGACCGTTATTATGGTAGTTGGTATTTGCTCTTTAAATGGCCTCTCTTTAAACACCAGCTCTTGGAAGGAGCCCAAGTGCTTTGTTGCCAGTTGTGTTTTTAGCCAGCTGGCCCTTGATTTCCTCCATTCAGACTGCCCATTTCATTTATGGAAGCAGAAGAAGGGAAACTGTAAATATTCCAGAGCCCCTGATCCTGTCTGGCACCAGAGCCAGTGACACTATGTTCAACATTGTTCCAGGGCTCAAAGCTAGGAGATAAGTAAACAGAAAACAGTACCTACTTAGACGAACAAGGGAAGAGATAGTAAATAAGACCCTCTGTTATCCTGGCAGGGATCAGATGCAGAATCATTCCATACTGGCTAAACCAGCTGTTGCTACTTTACCAAAACCTAGGGTTTCTTTTGTTGCCAGGCTCCACGTAGCTCTGAAATATCTATTTTATTTGCAGACAGTTCGTTTTTTAATTGCAGCGGAGGTAGTTGAATTTATGTAAAAGAGATGTATCTATCAATTGCCTTTTCAAGGTCAATGTTTAAGATTTCTCTGATTGTTTTCTTGAATAATACAGAAGAAATTGACATATGCAAGAATGAGACAAAAGTAAAGTGAACAGGAGAGTTACCCCCAGTAACAGAAGTGTATTGGCTTGTCTAAAATGGGCATGATGAAGGCTTTATATATTAGAGGAAAAAACAAGGTAAAGAGGACAGAAAAAAAGAAACTGGGGAAAGAAAAAAAAAGTTAGTTCTTTAAAAACCTTCAAAAGAAAGGAATTCCATCCAAATTCAGAAAAGAATATAAAAACTTTGGTAAGTTTATGAGACCTAAGAGTTTTGAGTGATGGTATAAATACCATCCAATGACATTTATCATGTATGTCTTTTAATTTTCTTTCTCTTTAGCTCTGATTATTTTTTAAATATGTATTTTCATTTTTATTTCATATTTTAATTTAATTCTCTGATCCTTAAGAATATTTTTTACCTTTTTTATTATTAAAACAACTATTGGTATTTTTTGCTATCTGTATTTCCCTCTGTTTTTTATAGTCCTTTATTTCTTTTTTAGTTTTTAGTGCTAGGCTTTATTCCCTCCCAGAGTTGGAAAAAACTTTACTCATTTCTTCTTAAAAATTAGACTGTAATACACATTTTTACTATTAAAGTAATGAATGAAAATCTTAAGATGTAGTGTTTCTACATTCCTATCCTATTCTTCTGAAATAATTTTATAATGCATTAGTATATTTTGTAAAAAAAAAAAAAAAGATTGGATAATACTATCAGCTCTGTAATTCCTGATTATGAGACTAAAAAATACAGTCCAAATTTCAAAACAAAACATTTCTGCCTCTAGGAGGCACTGTGATTTTCACAGAACTAAGAAGATTTAGTGCCTGTTCCATGTCAGGTTCCCCAAGAAACAGAACCAAATGTGGAGATTTGCATTGCAGGAAGTTTACTGGGGCATGTGCTCAGGTTCAACACCTAATGGGGAATGAAGGAGGTGGGATTGGGCAGAGGGAAAAGTTGAACTGTGATCCAGATGCTAGAGACCTTGGCTGACACCACAAGTAGCTGCAGGGCTGGAGAGCCTTGCACTATGTCCTGGATAGAGGGAAGACTGCCCAGACTTTATTCCCCCAAGGGACCGGTTACTACATGGAAGTTGCTCCTAGGAAGGGGACATAACCTTGATCTGGGGGAATCTCTCTGAAAGGCAATTCCTAGAGCAGGTTGCAGCTAAGAGCCACCAACCACCAACAGTCCCAGCAGTTGGGGGAATCAGCACTTCATACCTGAAGGAATTTTGTGGAGAGGCAATCTAGGTGGAGAGCCATAGCCTGCACTGCAGTAGCTTTTGAATTTTTCTAATGTTAAATTAGAACCAGATGACACTCTACTCAAACTTCCCGATTTTTAAGATGAAACAAGAGGCCCAGAGAGGAGAAATGATCATCCTAAGCATTTATATCTAGTTAGTAGCAGCCAGACCTTTCAGTCTCAAGTTTGCTTATTAGACAAACATCTAGAAGGCAGAAGTGTCCAATGACTGTTTTCTTTTTATGTCTGCTCCTTGGCATCTTTCAAAAAAGATTTTTATATCCAATGGGTAGGGAAACATAAGCCCAGTTAACATGCTTTGCTATATGATGAAATTTATAGCTTTTTATATTCTTAAATTTCATCTTGTTTCTCATAAATTAACAGTAAATTCCAGAGTTTGAAAATTTTTAAAAATTGCAACAATCTGAATCAATTGCACTTTTACTGTGTCAAAGATGATTATTTTAGTAATCAAATTAAGCTATGTAGGTTACATTTTATATTCTTAAAATCACAGTGTTTTAGATTGGTAAAAGCCACTATACATAATTACATTTGTTTAAACTCTCTCAAAAATCTTCCCCCAATCAAATCTGTTTATTTTTGACCACAAGAGTTCTAAAACTATTTGATATTTTATCTCCTTTTATTATCTAGATTTTACCTTCTCTCTCCTTACTTTTTACTTTCTTATATTTATTTGTTGGCTTTTCCTTTTTTTCTACCACACATCTTATTATTGATTTATAATGTATGATCTACCTTTTTGATAGTAATGTTTCATCTTTTCCAGTGTTTTTATTTTTTAACATTTCTTAGACATTTTAAACTTTTATTCACAATTTTTATTTTTTATGGAGGTATAATTGACATATAACATTTTATTAGTTTCAGGTGTACAACATAGTGTGCTTTGATATTCGTATAATTGTGAAATGATCACTATAATAACTCTAGTTAGTATCTGTCACCTTACATAGTTACAACATTCTTGATGAAAACTTTTAAGATCTACTTTCTTTCTTAGCAACTTCCAAATATGTAATACAGCATTATTTTATAACTGAAAGCTTGTATCTTTTGATACCTTTCAAGAACCCTCAGCCTTTAGCAACCACAATCTCTTCTCTATGACTCTATGAGCTCAGTTTTTTTTTTTTAGGTTTTTTGTTGTTGTTGTTTTTGCTCTTTTAAGATTCTACATATAAGTGAGATCATTTGGTATTTGTCTTTCCTCGTCTGATTTATTTCATTTAGCATAATGCCTTGAGGTCCATCCATGTTGTTGCAAATGGCAAGATTCCATTCTTTTTAATGGCTGAATAATATTCCACTATATTTATATACATTCACACACATGCACACATATGTACATACATCATATTATCTTTATCCATTCATCCAGCAGTGGACACTTAGGTTGCTTCCATATCTTGGCTATTGTAAATCATGGTGCAGTGAACATAGGAGTGCATATATCTTTTCAAGTTAGTGTTTTCGTCAGCCATCAGAAAGGACTAATACCTACCATTTGCTTCGACGTGGATGGAACTGGAGGGTATTATGCTGAGTGAAATAGGTCAATTGAAGAAGGACAATCATCATATGGTTTCACTAATATGTAGAATATAAGAAATAGTGAAAGGGACTATAAGGGAAAGGAGGGAAACTGAGTGGGGAAAAATTAGAAAGGAAGACAAACCATGAGAGTCTCCTAACTCTGGGAAATAAACAAAGGACTACGGAAGGGGAGGAGAGTGGGGAGATGGGGTGCTTGGGTGATGGGCACTAAGGAGGGCACTTGATGGGATGAGAACTGGGTGTTATACCATATGTTGGCAAATTGAATTTAAATAAAAAAAATAGTTAGTGTTCTCATGTTCTTCAGATAAATACCCAAAAGTGGAATTGTTAGATCATATGGTAATTCTATTTTAAAAATGTTGAGTAATCTCCAAACTGTTTTCCATAGTAGCTGTACCACAGTTAATTTTATTAATCTTCAGAAATTTTCCAATTTTCTCTCCTTTCACTTTTGTCTTCTTTTCTTCTTCTACCATAGTTCTTTTTTTTTCCCTACAACTTGAGTATTAGCATAATCTTGAGGAGATAGTGGAACTTGGCGGAGAGTTGAGTTTGTATAGAAAAATAGGAGACGTTTCTTCAGAAAAATCACATATCTTTGAAATTTACATTCAATTCTTGTTTTATTTCAATTTGTTGGCATAAGGCTTGAGGAGAATA